TTAAGACTCTATTTTACTTTATAAAATTCTGCTGTGTTCTGATTTACAATTTATCACTGCAACTATAGTTCGAACCAGCAAATTCTTCTTCTTATTTATTTATTTATTTATCTATCTATTTATTTATTGCATTAACCATGCTTTTGTCCTCATTCCCATAGTTTGCCCAACCATATGTTCATTTAAGAAATGAATTTAATTTTTGAGAATTCATGAGGACATGAAATACGACGCTTCACACCGGCACTACACAGCACTGGAGATATTCTTCCGCATCCATGGTACATGTAGTTCATGAGAAAATGAACTGTTTTAAAGTTGCAAAGTATCTTCAGGTAAAAATATTTGTAAATGTAAATATTCCCATGCACATACACGTTTAGCTCTGAATTTTGTCACCAGTCACCTTACACTGTCCACTGCGTCATTCTTGTTTCTAGTGATAGATTGATAATTAAATGTTATGTAATTAAGTCCTTATGAGACTTCCTCTTCAGTTATGTAAAATTCACTCTGATTTTTCCTTTAATGCGATATATACCAACCTCGCCCCGTCAAAGTATGTATTAATCGATCTGCAATGTAAGAGGACGTTCAATTAGACATCGTTTTTCTTGTTAAAAAAGCATGTGTTTGTCCAATAAGGTTCTGAGATATAAAAGTTAATAGCTTGCACTTTCCTCCCTATTTTTTAAAAGCAAAATTGTGATAACTGTGTGAAAGTTCAACTGTAGAACGCTGCTATTCTATAGCTAAAATTTGTTGTGCAGAATTTTTTGGAATTTTAAGTACATGTCGGAACGAGGAAAAGTGGATGAAAACCAAATGAAAATAAATACAACCTCTTTAATTTTGCTCTCTATACAGAATTTAAAGAATATTTTTCAAAGAAAGTTTTATTCCTAAAAATATTTCATAACATCCTTATCAAATCATGATTGTATCCGGTTAAAACGTCTTGGTAGTTTGCTCAGTAATTTCCATGGCCAGTATGATGATCGTGTTTGCTAACAGAATAAAATGTGAAGATATGTGAACGTAACAAACAAACAGTATTCAAGCTCAAAAGTCCAGTTAATAAAAATTGTTAGCAGAGCAAACACGTCATTAGGTCTAATGTTGCCTGAATTTGGTCTAATATTGCCTGAATTAGGTCTAACGTTACCTGAAGTTTTTAATACAGATTTTGAGTCCATTGTCTAGAATTTCTCTGTTTTCTTTTACATTGCATCTTAGACATAGGTTAGACATAAAAGTAACCAGAAGAAAGCTTATCTTTCTTACAAAATCATTTACTATCCTCGTATCCTAAGACATTTTCACCATAGAGATTTCAACTTTGAAGGATCGTTTTGCTTTTTATTAGTTGTGGTGTTAAGATATATCAACAAGAGTACTTCTGCTAAAAGGGTTGCTAATCAATTCACAAAAAAAGATAAACATGAACTTTTACCGACTCTGTCCACAAGGGAATTATCATTGATCATCAGCCAATTTGAAATAACTGTTATTTAGTACATTTTATATTTGTTTCAGATTGATTATAATGCACCAAAAAACAAACTTAACGATGAAAACGTCCCACAAAAATTAACTACGAGCAGCAAAGCTAATACGAACTATATAGTTCATGTGTACCAAGATAACTTTTAGGAACTGAATGATCACTAAAAGTATTCCAAATCTCCATAAAACAAAGTGTACATCCGATAAAAGTCAAAGTTTTGTGACTATACTGAAAAATTCCATAAGGATCAATATGGGAATATTGTAGATTGTTTTCTATATACAGTTAATGTATTAGAATGCAACCTTTTCAATAACGAATTATTTTATTTTCAAACAAAAGGAATGATGTTATTATTTGCAGTTCTATTTTTTTAAGCTTTTTAATAAATTATTTTCATCTTCCTCTTAAGCCACTGTTAAGATATGCATGTATTCTTTCCAAAAAGGGGAAATAACTTTGAAAGATAAATGTAATCTTTGAATTTCAGGGACATGGCCATTTTTTCTAGTTTTTGTAATTATTGAATTCCAGAAAGTTTTGGTGCATTCACGAATAAAGAAAAGAATTAGAACTGTGTGTAAGGAAATAACTATGTTTGAAAAACTTTTAAATCAGTTTGTATAGGTTTCTTTATTCCTAGAACACACACATTTATCAGGGAGTTGTCCTTTCAAGTAATCCTTCTTCTTGATGTAAGAATATATTAAAATATATATATATATATATATAATTGAAGCATCAAAGGAAGTGGATCTTTTTCGGTGAATACTCTAGACTTCTTATTTTGAAATCACACAACAATAAAAATCATCCATGAATACATGAAATACTTTTGTACCCAGAGAATTTAAAAGGACATATTTTGGGAATTTATTTTGTCATTATTTTGCAATGAATTTAATTGTAGATATGAAAGAATATATGTTGGGGAGGATGCAAAAATAGAGATTGGTTTTATAGGAAGACATGCCGATAAACCAGTGTTTTTTGCAATAATGAAGCCTGTACAAACTAATCTATTTGTTCTACTATCCTATTTCCTTTAGGTTCAAAGCCAATTTTGTAAAAGTTTTCTATTCCATTATAGATTGCATTGACAAAGAGAATTAAAACTCATCAGAAAAATGAAAATTTTATTTATTTCGCTTCAAGATGTGTACATCATGTCGGCTGAGTGTAGCATAAATGTCGTGTATCCTGAATTGAAATCTTAAATATCATCCCATGTTCTATTTCTTTGGCAATAGTTTCGCCATGAAATACACACATGGCTAAGAGAATCCAAGAAGGACGCCTGTACCATCCATAAGTCTGCATACTCTCACCGTGTTTTCTCACTTTCTTCTATCAGAAACATCGCAGTAAGTTATGATACAGATAATAGAATAATTGAAGTTCTGATACTCCTTAGCAATAAACATTGTCATGCATAATGATCACTTGTAAAAATCCAAAAAACAAAATCATTAACTATCTGCGTATGCGGTATCGGATGCATAATAAAGTAGTCCAACTTATTTAGCACCACAAGTTTTGCCGGAGAAATCCAATGTACCTAATAAAGCAGTAGATTTATACTTATTAAGACGGATCAGCCAATGAAATATCGAGCTCAAAATTAGAATCTTCAAACAGATGCCAATCCCTTGAAGAAAGGAAGGCTCCAGGGAAAATTAGATTTGTGAGGGCAACAACAGAATTTAAGGTTCGTTGACCTTCTAATAAGAGAGATAACTCTAACTAAGATAAAAATAACTGTTATTCCTCTATAAATTTACAAAGATAAAAGATCATCACTGTGAACTTTTTCCACGCAAAGTATACCAAAATTGTGTGCACTTTCATTACGATAGAGGCTTTTTTTTTTTTTTTTTTTGAAAATCAGAGTTAATTCAAAATTTTGTATGATTGACCAGAGGAAGGGTAAATCTTAATTGATATTACTTTAAGTATGTCATTTTACAAAATAATAATCCCTAGCTCTGTTACACAATTTTAGTGAGAAGGATAAAGTAATTCGTTATTTTGTAAAGGAAAATACTTGTTCATGAGTGTACATCTGATCCATTTTCATTTCACAATTGATATAAAATGGTATGATTTTACAGTAATAATAAATAAATATGGTAAGTCTTGCTTCAAGGCAATACTCTATAACCCAAAGACAGCTAATATTTCTGAGATTTTTCATATATTTGAAATTAACTTTGTATTTCCATGAGCCTTGCATCTCTGCAAATGTAAATTCCAAATTTTTCTTCATCCCATATTTCCTCCGAATAATTAATTTCACAAATCACAGCGAGCTCTTCCAACGATTAAATAATGAAAATTAAACAAATCTTTCCTATTCTCATAGCACCCCAGAAGTGATTTTCTACTTTAAAAAGGAAAAACATCCTTCTAAGTAGATTGTAAGACGTAAGATTAAATTCTGCTAATGCAGCATATTTGTTGATATTTTATCTGAGTGTTATTCAGTACTTTTTGTTATACTTTTGAAATCATTAATTTGTATGATTGATTTAATTTTGCTAACTTCCTATCATTAGCAATTGCAATCTGTCAAAATAGCTTAACGCTATATTTTCGTATTTGTCAGAAAGTTGTTCATTGGGAAACTTAGTTGCAGAGAATTTACATAGAAACCATATATTGTGTTTTCCTCGTATGATGAATGTTCCCAAAGTATGAATTTTTCATTACAAAAATCCTGACTGCAAATTATATTTTCAATTAAAGCACTAATTCGCAGCAAACATGCTTCGTTTCTCTCAGTGTACAAAGCAATACACCTGCAAACTTTATTCGCTCCGAAGGCAGAATTATCAGAAATGAACGATTCAAATATATCTGAAGCCTCTAGTTTAACTCCATCATAACCACAAGTTACACGAATTTTTCATTGTAAGTGTGTGGTTTATTTCCAAGAAAGAGGGGCAGAAATCCATGATTCATTTTAACATTTGCTCTTGAAAAAGATATAACCTTTTTCTCCAATATAATTGCGTCCAATCGAAAGTTCCAGACCCTTTTGATTAACTGTAACATTATCTTGACAGCTTGCCTGTCATTTTTCTCGGTTTAAGGTAATTAACACCAATAATTGCACACAAGAGGCGCCTCAGGGGAAACTCAAAACATAAATAAATACACATTAAATAGCAAAACCACTAGTAAAGAAGCCACCTTCTTGCAAATAAAAATCCAGTACTCAATCAAATAAACGAATTAAAATATTCTTGGCTAAATATTTCGCTAAAAACATAAATATATTCGGTATCTAAACAACTAATATAAGAATATGTAAATGACTCTAGCAAGAAATCTTGGCATTATCATACCTAGCCACGCCCCTTAATTTTCATAATGTTGTGGGAGTGGCAGGAAATACTTTGATTGACAGTCGTGAAGGAAATATCGCATATCTGCGGCCTCCGATAGGTCATGCTGGGAATTTAATGACTCGGTATATATACTTTCCGATGTAATAATTTGTGCTAGACGGGAGCATTTGAAAAGGACTTGAGCGCGCATTGTCACTAAACACGGACGATGCTGGCTGTATTATTCCTCTCGGCTCTTATGGGTAAGTGTTAAGAGCTACTTTTATTTTCATTTTCAAAATTTAAAATAATTTTAATATCCCCTTTGAATGCAGAAAAAATATGCATTCCTTCCTGTGATATAATAGGTTATCAGAAGACCTTTGGACATCAATATTTGATGCACAATAATGTAAATCTTCACCCACCCTTTTATTTTTTTTTTTAATTTAATTTTGAAGTTTTGTTCAGTCTTAGAATAAAGTTTGAAAATTTAAAAAAAAATCTTGAATTCGTAATTTTCTTTTCTTGTAGTACTTATATTATAATATAACTGTAATAATTTAGTTTGGAGAAAAACTGGGTCATTTTACTTCCAATGGGCACTGTGTGTTATACCCTTTTATTAATTGCTGATTATGCAGCCCGCATAGTTTATGTCCAAAGGCCATACTTTTTTTTTTATTCGGACCGTGGTCTAACATCGTAACATAAAATACCTGGATGCCTTTAACATAGCTATTAAACCGTCACATAGATTGTGGTCCGTCCGATTTGAAGTTACTGTTGAAGGAATGTTGACAACTGCAACACTTTGGACTATAAATCATGTCGGACTCGACATTCTGCTAATACAGGCCACGCATGAATAGTGATCGGTGGCCTCATATGGACCGTCTATAGTATTTGTTGTGTTGTCTCATTGAAATTTTGAATAAATAAATTTGATCTTTTTTTTCTTCTTTTCGTCTATCACTACAGTTACATGGAGTGTATTCCTTCCCAAAATGTAATGAGCTTTGAGAGAAAAATGTCCCTTCCAAACTGGTCTTGTCTGTACTCTTTTGAAATCCATTTTCCCTCATAGATTAAATACATATATTTTAAATTTGCTTTCTATACATTAGACCACATGAAGTCAACGTCCACTTAAATCTGTTTTAAAAAATTAGGTTTCACCTAAAAGGTTTTTCATATTTCTAATAAATGACAATGTCAGTATGTCCTTTTGATACGTTTTTTCTTGTACATTTACGATCAATGACATCTTAAAGTGGGTTAACTAGAAAAAAAGTCAAAGGATGAAGGATTTTTCCACCTTTATGTTGTTGTGTGATATGTAGTATACATATGCGTAGGATACATCAATTCATATATGTATGGTGAACATCTCTTTTCATTGAACTTAACTGGACAAAGTATACCTGTCATCATTTATTCAAATAAAAAAGGAAGAGAAGCTTAGCATTATATTTGCATCAGTTATGCATTTCCGTTTTTGTTTTTGTTTTTTGTTTTTTTACTTTGAATGTAGATATCATTTTTGAAGATTCATTAGTGATGACTATTTGACGTTTAATTTAATTCAACAAGCGAGATTAAGAAATTTCTTTGACCCATAAAATCTTGTTACCTTCACTTGAAATTTGTAAAAGAACAATCGAAAACATCGAGTTCATTTGTTTCTAGCCGTTTTCTGGTCGTTTTCCGTTGAAGTCATGTTTTGTTTATTGTTCAAACATCTAATTCCATCACGTGTGAATTTTCACACACCGAAAGCAGACGAAGGTAGAAAACCGCTAGTTCAAACTATTTTCAGACAACGCCCCCTGGCGGAAAATTAAATTGATGGGTTTGTCTAATTGATGTAAGAGGTGCCTTTGTAACCGCTGGACGAGAACATGGTAATGCGCTTGTTTACAAGTACTTTGGACAAAGAGAAGGTTTCAAATCTGCAATCGCGGAATTTTGTACAAGACGTCGTTATGTTTTTTATTAACATCAAAAGAATGACCTCTTGTTAGAAGCATCAATCGTAGACATGTAATTTAAGACATGTAATTATGCAAAGCACTAAGTACCACGTAAACGTTACCTGATAGGCAATAAATAATTTTTTGTCTGATTACCTTGTACTTAATAACTTTTTGAAAGATTGCGGTTTATTTCAACTGGACTTAGTAATTTTTTTTTATATCTCCCCTTATATAAAATTGACAACAAGTGTTATTTTTATACCTGTTTTGACCACGAAATACAGTAATTTATAGAACGGAATGGAAATTTAAAAAAGAAATATTCCATACTTGGTACAAATCACATCCAATTTGAAAGTCAAACTTGTTTCTTAAGAAATAGTAAATTTTAAAATGTTTAAATTTTATGACTTGAATTAATACATGTATGTATCAACATATATGATTGATTATTGTGGGGTCGGCTAAAAGGCTATTTTCAAAGTAATATACATGTATACTAAAATAGTTTTGTTTTCTCTTTGCAGGCCTCGCTATTGGAGGTAAGTATGCGGGGAGGGGGGGGGACATCTAATTTCAATTCGTATATTGCACAAAAAAAATCATTGATTTTATTTAATTTCACTACCGTTTTAAAAATTTTAATTTAGAATTAGAAAAAGATACGTGAATACGTGTACTTGAACTTACTTTAATATTTCAATGCGTGTTAACGCCTCATTGACAACTTAATCATTAATTAATTTATTCATCTATTAATCCAAATTACCTCTCTTTGACAGATCCATTGCCACCTGTAAGAAAACACACAGAGAGTAAGTGCCCTTACCTTTGTTTTTATTTATTTTTTTTTTTTCTTTATTTTTTTTTTTTAATCATAAAATAATTTTATATCATTTCAAATATTTAAATATAGAGATAAACAATTTCGAATAGAGAGACTTTTATCTTATTGTTAATCTTTACCCTTGCCATCTTTTTCAGTCATCCATGTTCGTGAGTACATTGTATATATATCTTCTTCCGCAAACCAGTGATTGAGTGTAAAGAATGAATGTGGTTCAAACATACGTAGATTTTAAAGAAATTCCGCAGTAGAAATTAAATCCGAAGCATGAAACAAAATACATGTATTTCTTATATCTTGAATTATTTAATAAATCTAGAAAGGATGATAAATGTATTAAAAATACAAGAAAAAAAGATACTTTTGCTAAAATACATTTGATTTATTGTGTCCTATATTCATTACTTTCGTTTTCTATTAAATGTTTTTTTATTTTTGAAATGCTTTTTTTTTCTAATCCTTGCTTAAGTGCTTCTTATTTTTTAAATTTTTTTTTTCTAATTCTTACTTTCCTTTTCCTATCTAGCCGCTCCTAAGCCAGTTGTTCGTCACGTCCCCGCTCTTCAAGAACATCCAAGTAAGAAATAGAATATATTCCCTTTATCTTTCTTTGGGCTTTTCAACAGTATTATAGGATATTAGGATTTTTAACAACAATAATCTAGGATTTCAGCTTTCTTAAAAACTATCTGTACTCTCAATGATAGTCTTTATCATAAAGTTATGTAAAATTGCTTCTTTCTGCTTTTAAATTTCAAAAAACCGACAATTCATGAAAAAATTAAAAATTATTTTTTTTATGTAATTTAGTGCACTAATACATTCGATGAAATAACATCCTTTATCTCTGTTCACAGAACAAATAGTCCAACATGTACCGATTAGACAAACAGTCGTCAAAGAAATTAATGTTCCAAGAGACATAATCCGTGAAGGTATGCTATAATGACGTCAAAAATTAGCCACATTTTTAAACTTCACTTTAGAAGAATCTTGATACTTTCTTCGCCCTCTAACAAGCTTTCAACAAATATATACAAGAATCTTTATAAAAAAAATTTTTTTATCCATATATTGTTTTTTTGTTTTTTTTTTTTTTTTTTTTTTTTTTTTTAGTATTAAGATTTTTTGAAAAAAAAAATCACAGTACTGAAATAACACAATGTAATATTGTAAATGTTTGATATACGAAGAAAAGTCAATCTCACTCGTTTTGTTATTTTTTCACAGTGCCAGTAATCGTCGAAAAGAAATGTAAGTAAACATTCTTTTGAAGTTCACTAAAAATCGTAAAAAAATGAATGAAGTGGAATCTAACAAATGAGGGAATATTAATGATTTGGGTAAATTTTGATTGCTTTCTTTTACAGTGATTTTGAGGCAACCACATATTCGTAAATTCCCCATCGATGTTAAGAAAACTTTGTTGCAGCCACATATCAAACACGTACCACGTAAGTTTATCATTAATATCTATATGTCACAGTATTTAAAGCCAACGTCACAAGGAAAATTTTCACACATATGAATCTACACACACAAAATGATTTTCAGGGAAAAAAATATCACCAACAATTCTCGGTATTATTTTACATCATTGCCTAACTATGATAATGTTAATACATTCCTGCAAGACTTTAAAAGATGCTGATCATAAGTTTATTTGAGTGATTTATATCAACATATTGATACATGTATATCAATTGAATAACGGACATTTTCTTTAATTTTTTAGAGGTCAGAGTTAACTACCGCAAGAAGCCATGTAAGTATCCGGAAAGGACTTTCACAAAGAATCACGTCATAAATCTAAGATTAAGCACCAAAACGCAAAGAAAAGCGACACAAACTCGAGTTGTAACATTTCAAAGCAGACAGAAACGAATCGAAAACTCGTTTTGTGAGCAAGAAGACATAGTCATTCGTAATTCTTTTGAAAGACAGTAAAACTCAATTTTTATTCTTTTTTTTTTCTAGATGAAGTCTGGCACACGAAAGAAGTGAAAAAGATCATTAAGGTTCCACGGCCATACCCCGTCATCAAACACAAAATTGGTAAGACTAGCCTGAATATAACACAACAGTTTTGTTTGTGTTTGAGTTTTTATTTCTTCTCTTAGTGTAAACTACAATTAGATTTTTTTTTTTGTTATTTTGTTTAATGGAGAAAGATCTAAACCCTAATGTAGAAAATTCGAAAGCTAACTTCCTTAAACAAATGCTGAAACAGATTAAATTGACAAATGCCGTCTTTATCTTCATACTGCGTTGCCTGAAAAATTCTTTTTTATTTTCTTTACAGTCACAAAGGTGCTGAATAGAGTTGGTAAGTATTCAAGGTCTTAATGCAAAAATCGAAATTTACAAACTCCTCATCGTTTACAAGAATAATACCTTTGTTACATTGTTTTGCTTGTCAACATCCAAGTTTAGGGAAAATATGTGAATTCGCTTTGTGAATATAGATATTATGAGATAATTTTCCTGAATCTAAATTCTTTTTTTTTCAGTCGATGTCCCACACAAAGTATACAAAGACAAAGTTAAAGTCGGTAAGTTAACCTCTATTTTGTTGCCAAAAGGAAGGATTATACATTTTAAAAAATATATATATAATTCCTTTTTAATCATTTTCTAAACATGAAATATTAATAAATTTTATTTCATTGACCATTTATTTCTTCTTTTTCAGTTCAAGTACCTCAGCCATGTGAGTCAAAATCATCGAGCAATCAACAAAAATAATATTTGCACATATGAAGAAAAAATACATATCATACATTCCTGAAAATGAAATTAACATTACAATTCCATAATACAAAAGAACGATTTTAAATGTTGAATTAGACGACTATTTCATTATGCGATTATGTAATATCGCATTATTACAATAATACGATTCTTGTGTCTTAATTGATTTTTTTTATAATGATTTCCCTAATAGTCAAGGTACAGAAGGTTCACCACAGAAAGATCGATGTTCCCATTGAAGTGCGCGTCCCTGTTCCACGTAAGTACTTGACACTGGAAACCCGTAAAATAATGTTAAATACTTTGTTATAACAAGTTGTAAAATTCCAAGTTGAGAAATTACTAGTCTACCAATTATAAGACATAACAAATTTTGAAATTAAAAATTGTAAATTATCATGAAATAACAAGAACTTGTTTGTTGTGAAATTAAATAAAAATAAATTGCAAGTTAAAAAATTACAAGTTATGCCTTAATACTATCTTGACTAAACTTTGAATTTAGATTCATATTCTTTGTAGCAATTAGATAATGTTTAATCATTCTTTTTGTTTGATAGGTGTCAATGTTAAGCGAACACAGGAGGTCCAGAAAGGTACGGTTTTAACATTTAATCAAACGATTAACAATTTCATTACCAATCATACCCAGAATTAGCAAAATATATTTAATTCATAATTCATTTTACTAAATAAAGAGCATACTTATTTGACGATTGTATAGTATCAATTTTCTAATTCGTTTATGCTTTCGATCCCTTCTTAAATCTTCATTATTTCATTATATTTTATTTTATCCTTTTCAGTTCCTATTGATGGTAAGAGACAATGCTGCTGAGGAATTTTCAAAAATACACCAAACCTCCAAGCACAAGTGGCTTATGGTCTAAAGAATAAGGGTTTATTTCAATTATTAATAACGTTTTGACTAGTATTTTACTGTTATAGAAGAAAATATATTGGCCATTATAGAACCATTGTGTTCCTTTTGTTCCATTTTGTTCCTCTACAAGTTGGCCATTTACTGTGAAATCACTAATTTTCGTGGGGGGTTTAATTTCTGTGGTTTTCGCGGTATGAACAGACCCACGAATTCATGTCCACAACAAATGTAAAATGTCATATACATAACTACGCATCAATTCAATTCTTTATCCTCGAAATTGAGTCCCCACGAACCCATAGCTTCTCTTCAAACCACGAAAATATGAGATTTTACAGTATTTTATTGCAGTTCAAAGTTAATGATTTCTGTATATATATAAACTTAATAGATTTTTGTGTTTTGTTACAGTCACTGTTGTGAAGAAGGTCGGCATTCCCAGTAGGTTGATTATTTTTCTACATAAATTTTCATTAAAAGAATACTTATTAATTAACATGTCAAAAACAATTTTGGATTTTTTTTTTTAAAAACTCCTGTTTAATTTATTACTTTTTTTAAAGGAAAAACAACATTGACTGAGATTGTTCCGGTACCAGTGAAGCGTAAGTATTGACAAATGCCTTATGATTAATTTTAAATTTCCCTTCCAAATTAGCAATACTCTTGCAAAATGTCTCTGTTTTCATACATAACAATTAAATGATTCTTTTTAATATAAGATCTAGTTATTTTAAGTGTTAACTTCAGCTTAAGAACTTCAGTTCTCTTATGACAATTCAGTTAATGATTGAGATCTTTGAGCAATTCACCGTTACCCTAAATCTGCGAACCCTGGATAATACAACGTTAAATACTGTGTGACGTAAATACTCAATGTTTAAATACTTAGTACACTAGATCCTTCATATACTGATAATCTGATCTGTTTGTGGTGATGGCAACTCCTTCTATGTTTTTCAAAGTAATTCTTTCTTTTAAGGTATATATAATGTAACTATTAATGCATGCAATCTACTTTTTCTTGTTTGGTGTTTGTTATATGCATGTATCTATTCCTTAATTTCTTATTTTGTTTTCATTCCCTTCGTATTCATTCTTGTGTCTCTGATTTTATATTTGTTAATCTCTTTTGTTCTTTTGAAATTATCCCTTAGATATTTTTTTTCAAACTTTGAACTTGCCCCTTGACTTACAGCAGAAGGATGTGGCCCAGATGGGGTAGATTGTGGAAGTTTTGCTTCTGCTGGTTCTGTTGTTACGGACACCGTAGGTGTTGCAGGAGTGGCTGGTGCAGGAGGTGGAGCGGTTGTTGAAGATGTTTTAGTAGGTGGATCAGGTTTCACCGATTCTGTAGGAGTTGTAGATCAATCTGTAGCAGTTCGTGGTGGTGTACGCACCATCGTTGACGAGGCTGTACCAGTCGTTCCATTAATAAAGAAAGTCCGTAAGGTTACGGTTGGTCCAGCTGCTCCTGTTGTCGAAGACACCACTGTAGTCGGTGGTGGCCCAGTTGTCAGGGGTGATGTTATAGAAGGTCGATTATACGGACCTGATTTACCAGGTCTTGCACCCGGTGTTGGGCCTGTTGTAGATCCAACATTTATTGAAAGCTCTGTTTCTGGAGGACCATCTGTCTTGCCACTTCCAGCTGAAACTTACGTACCTGGAGCAGATTCTTTACCAGATGTGGTAGCACCATATGATAGAGATTCCCTAGGGCCATTGGGTTCAGGCTCTGGTTTGCCATTACCTGACGGAAGAGTTCAAGAGATATATAACGAAAGAGGAGTATTCCCCGGTGTTGGCTTTCAATCTGGTTTTGTGAGTGGTGGTTATGATGGAGGATTATTGGATGGTGCCGCTGGTCTGTATTCAGAAGGACAGTATCTTGATGGTGTAAGGTCAGGTTTTGGAAACTCATTTGAACTTCGGAGCGATGGTTTCGGAGGTGGATTTGGCCCTGATGCTGATGTGATTGAGAGGGCTAGAACTACCACATCCGGAGGTGGAGGGGGAATCGTTTATCAGGAGAGAAGATCAATACCTATACTGGTTGGCGGTGACGTCCAAGGAAGAATTATTAAGACTGGTAAGGTTTAATCACCAAATACCCATGTACCACTGCAGTTATTTCCCCGAACAATATCCTCACGCATTCAGGTGATATAACAAATATATCCCCATGTATTTTATTTTACCATGCGAATATATGCGTTATATTTTCAACAACCAGGCTGATGAGCTTCACTTTCCTATCCTTTCTCCGGCATTGAATATTTTGATATCAGTACACATGGTTGTTATATATAATATGCTTTTGATATTTCAATTCCAGCACACGCTTATATCTATAATGGTTGATGGTACACAGGTTCCTGGTTTTGCTGATGATTAAGGATGAGTGTATACTATTATTCAACAAAAGTCGGATGGTGTGAATAGTTGCTTATATAATCTATACAAATTGAGAAGACTCCTTAATACTGGACAATTTTTCCAGTTATATTTCATACAGCATTCTGGTGCTTTTATCCTTGAACAATGTCTGAAAGTATGCACATCTGTAAAAACCTTTGCACTTTCTCTCTCAATATCTTACTAGTACCTCCAACTGAATAACGATACAGTTATGTATCCCTTTAAGCAGATACCTGTATCCTGTCCTCATATCTCTTTTCCTCCAGCATGTAATCATTTTCCCTTTATGGTGATGTTTTTCCATTTCCTTGCATGAATTAGCCAATACTTCTTCGTTATCTTGTTATTCACCGTTACCGTCTACCACTGATCATTTTATTCTGTATCATACAATATAGGGTCGATTGGAAAACATCTCTATTTGATTTCTCTTCATTTTGTTTCAGATGGCGGTGGATATGGCCCTAACTATGGTACGTTAGATGCAATTTTTAATTACAGTAAAACTCGCTTATAGTGGATACGCTTAAAACGAATTGATATTTATAGCGAAGTGATTTTCATTCCCCATGACTTTAAAATATATTGTAAACTTATGGAAATAAACGAATTACGCTTATGACGAAGCAAAATCGTCCGTCCCTGGCACTTCGTAATAAGCGTGTTTTACTCTTTCTCAAAATTCAAGTAATAATCTGTGTTCCATTTCTTTGACGAAATTTGCTTTGTTTTTTGATTGACAGTCAGTCATGTTGTCTAATAATTCTATTCAATAACCATTATTTGATAAAGATAACATGAAAGAACAAACACGTTGAATTTTTGCAATGAGATAAAGTCTTAGAGGAATAATTACTTCACATACCATTAATGTTACATACAATTATTTTAACAAAATTTTTGATTTTATATTCATCTTACATTTCTCAAACAAGACTTAATATTGAATTTACATACAAACTAATAACACCTCATTCTCATCATATTGTTTGCCTTGCTTAAGGCCGCATATTCACAATCATGCATTTATTTCCTCTCTCTTTTTATTATGACTTCTTTTCATTTCTCCTCAATACTTATTTCTTCTCAAACTAGATGACTCAGATAATGCAGTCGCTGTAGCTAGTGCCTCTGCAGGAGGCTTGATCGGGGCTGCTCCCGGAGGCTCTATCGGGGCCGCTGCTGGGGCCTCTGCCGCTGCCCTGGCCTCGGCTGCCACTTCTGCTGGAGTTTCTGCTGGACAGTTAGGCCTTGGCTTTGTGAACCAAGGCGGTCATTTCAATGCTGGTATAGATGGCCATGGAGCTATTAACGCTCCCTACCCTGACCATTCCCTCTTTGGTGGTGACATAAGCAGTGCGCAAGCGCAAGCTCAGGCTCAGGTTTTTGCCCAAGCTCAGAACTTTGCCCATGCCCAGGCTCAGAACTTAGCCCATGTCCAGGCTCATGCTAATAACATTGGAGATTCATTACATTCTGATTTACAGTTAGCCAATAATTTAGCATTTGGTGATAATTATGGTAAGCAATTGTAATGGAAGATAAATTTAAACAATTTGAAAGTACAATTTGGAATTCAAAATGAAAACTCCCAATTTTACAACTTCCCGGCCTCTAAAGAAGAGACTCTCTAATCTTTTTTTCGTATATTTCTATAGATGTCAACAAATATGGTAAGATTGGTTGTTGTCCAAATCTTAAAAATCTGCTGACGTGATTTCGGACGTCTAAGTGTTATGTTAGCACAAACGCTGTTTTGCACACATTTTATGTGTATGATTCGATACAACCGCAACGCATTACCAGAAGTGTGTGAACATGACCTGCACTATTGTTGCACTGCGCAAAAGTCTACGTTGAAAACACTGCATTCACTCTTGCTAAACACGTCGTTTTACTTTCACTTTCTACTGTCTTTTCTCAATACTCACTGCCTGATATGTTTTAGCATCATTGTCAACAATCTTCATACAGTTTTCTCTATCATCTTTATCATCTGTACATCACAATCACCATTACTTGTAACAGAAAACTTCGACATTTATATATGATATATTTTATGTTACAAATTAAGGTAGAACTTTTTTTAGGTGACATCGATTATGCGGTATAACGGTAAAAAAAAATCCCTTATTTAAAGAGCAGTCCTATATCAGACAGTAATATTCACCCAGGCTTCAATCATACTATACTATTAAGAGTATTCCTAAGTTTCACCTATCTTCTCTATCTTTTGTATTTTCAGCTTTACTCATGTTTCAATCTGTGTACCAGTATTCACTTTTATTCCATATACTGCGTTTGCCTAAATCATACAAAAAATAGATATATTTTGATTTGCTTATCCTCCTTTAACGATATAAGCATAATTACATTAAAGAATATATACCTATTTTAACAACAGACATGGATAAAGGGTTTTCATACATTGCCTTCATACATCGCCTTCGCCATGCACAGTCACATGTACAATGCATTTTGCACAATATTTTCAGGGTTAACTTTTTTAAAATTGCAAATATGTGGTAGAGTGTTGGGCAATAAGGAAATTCAGTTTTCATCACATAAATTACATCCTTGTTGTCGATAATTGACATGCTAATTAATACAGAATTTCACAGGAATGTATTCTTCTAAAAGCTTTCTGTTTAAAATTGCAATGTGAATTAAACATTCTAATTTCCCTTTTCATTTTATTTCTTTGTTATTAGAATTTATTAATGTCTTCTTTTCCCTTGTTTTACTTATGTTTTTCTTTTTTTTTATTTTACAGCTTAATAAGGCTCTGATCTCTGAGCCGTCGGTAAGATTTACTTTTACTTTCCATTTCAATTTTTACTTTCACTTTACAGATGTCTTTAACCTTTATTTGCTGAACGTAAGAAATTAAGATAGCAATTACGTGATCAATTTCATTATCTTTATCTCTTTTAATTACCCAAACCCTACTTAGAGAACAAATACTTAATTTATCAAGAAAATAAAATAAAAGCAACATGAATTCATATGCAAGTAATAACATCAAATATTGAAATTAAAGTATGTTGTTTCATTAATAATTGATTTAAATATTTTTTACTTACATTTTTAGGGTGCTTCGGCTCTTCTTCCTGGGTTTGAGACACCATTGTACATTTCTATAAATAGAAACATATTGACATTGGCTATTTCAGTGTGTAACATTCATCCTCGGGCGTCTGAATATATTTTATTAACAAAACTTAATATTTTTTTGTTTGTTGTTTATGAGACAAAATGATTTTACTCGATCACAATACTTATTATCGCTACAGTCATTTTCTAGGGAATCTTTTGTATTGGAGATTCGTTTAGTCTATGGGATTAAGACAATGACGTGACAATAATTGCTCCTCAAGGCTTTTCTTGATAATGAGAAACAGGAATTGTTAGCAAAAAAGAAAAGAAAACGTGATGACTTGACAAAATTAGAAAGGGTTTGTGAGTTTTGTTTGTGGTTTGCATTATTTGTTTTAGCTTGCAAATATGTCCCAAATTCTTGTGTGATTTCGATTTTATTAAATTTCAATGACGAGGAGTTCACTCAAGAAAAGTTACTCAAGACAGTAATAGATAAGACCTATTTCAACGCCTATGATCATGGGAAAATTCCTGTTAAAAAAACCTATAGTCCTCACTATATCAAATTTAGCAAGCATATGTATGCTTAATTATTGAAAGAAAAATGTATTTAAGGAACCATTTCCCAACACAGACTCTCTTGATTTTTACCCCTATTTTTTGTCCCAGAAATTTGCTTTTGAGGCACTTGTCTGTGAACATCTAACATTTCATTCAAGGAAGAGATATTTACATGCAGCTGAATTATTTTACAAGACTTTACAAAGAATAAAATACCTATGTGGGTTTCTGTGTGTTGCTTACTTTATGTGCTAGTTCTTTTACATTGACTTGATGATTTTCTTTTATCTCCCTTGCAACAACATAAGCGTAATGTGTTATAGAAAGTATCTGAGTTGCTTATTTTCTCAAGCCAAGTTATTCAAGTAACCCTTTTTTCATTGAAAAGTAAAAAAATATATATTTTTAAATTGTTTAATAATTAGAAGTTTATTTCCTAATATAGTTAAAGTATCTTTTTTTTTAATCAGGTAGTTTATAGACTCTTATCATAATACTGCATTTTAGGCCACTTGAATCATTTAGTTGGTCATGTTTAAAAAAAAAATCCATCTTCGAAAATCTCTACATTTACATTAAGGTCAAGATCTAGTAAATGAAAATTGCCTACAGATTTCTCAAATTTGAGAAATGAATTCCTTTAATGATGTATTATAACTTTAGCCTGGTCAAATAAAGTGTTTTGGGGCATAATTTGTAGGCAAACAAGACGAAAAATCATATTTTAAACTGTCATTTTCAACGAAAAATTAAGAAAACCAGTCATGAATACGGGAGCTTTTTTTCCATATCAACAAGGGAAATGTATCCAGATTGCCTACAGTCTCTCAGAAAACGGTAATTTTTATGTTCTTTAAAATAATATTAAACTGAATATAGGTATCGGGATTACTTTTCACAGTGTCTCAAATTGAATTCCATGAAAATACTTTATTTTCTACCTAATTCTATTAGAGCCGTAAATTACGGGAAAAATAAATTGAAATTGATTATGACGTCATAATTGATTTAGCACCAAAAAGACAGTCTAAAACCATTTACTAGATCTTGACCTTAACAGTCCATCCTTTAGAATTATTATATAAATTAGTAAGTAAACCTTCGATAAAAATGGTAAAATTCATGTGCCCAGTGCTTTTGTACACGTTTACATTACATAAAGTATTTGATAACGAGTAATAAGAAATACTACATTTGTAATATAACAATATTACATTTGTGAAAACCATATCCATTCTGCTTGATTCAGATCATGAGGTTGCGCAAAATCATGTATCAAAATTTTATTATGTCTTTGAAATTCTTTTTATTCTAATAGAAATCTCTGAGACGATTTCTTTTTTTTTTTTTTTTTTTTTTTTTTTTTTTTTGCATGATAATAATGAGCTGTAAGCTCTCAAATAAAAATTGCCAAATCAATGTCTTCTTGAATCAGAGGTCAGGGAAGACATTTTATAATTCAGTGTTTACTTCTATATTCCTGTAAGTCTGACTGGTATACTGGATGCATTTTTATAATCAGGGACCTATAATATTGTCGATATCACGTACCTCATGGGATTTCATATATCTCTAATTTATTTAACATGCCTGGAAAAAATACTCTTATTGAAAAAAAGCATTCAAAATTGTAAATAGCAATGCAAAATCTTTATTATAATGTAATTACAATGCATTCAAAATCGAAATACGCCTTACATCGACCATATTTCCGAAATTTAACAAAAATTTGATGGTTATTCAATTATACTTGTTTATTATTTTACAAGACGCACAGCCCTATTCATAATAACGTCATGAATAAGGCCTTCGTATTTTCATCACATATTAGTAGTCTTCCGCTTCTTGCAAAGTTCTCCCAAATAGTACACACCGTCTGAAAACCGTTAATGAAACTTGTAAATCAATAGACTAGAAGTATTTCTTTTATTCCCTGATGATTCAATCTAACGACAATTCCACCAGATAATCACATAATTTCATGACGCATGCTGGGCTGTTGGGTTGGACGACGTCGCTTTTTCTGGCGTTTTCAGAGACACATTTCTGGCCTTTTGCTCTTGATAAATCTCCTCTATCCGTCTTATAACCAATAATAACGCGGGTATGATAAGGCAGTACACAGATCATATTTCGGCGATTTTGGACTTTTTTCGTAAAATGTAACATTGGTAAATCGGAAAAGTCATTGATAAAACATTTACTATTATTATCCATTGTATAGACGTCATTGAGTCTTAGGCTAAAAGAAGCACTCCACTACGACGTCATCACGTGACGTCTATAAATAGAAAAAATGCCTTAATAAAAAAGTAAAAAGTTCAACACTACCCCAGGGATAATTCATTTCTTTTTGTGAAAGTAGTTATGTAAAAACATCACTGGACCATGAAAAGTGCTGCTAGAATCCTACTCTCCAAACACAGAAAAAATTATTCCAAAGTTTCGCATGAAACCTTACCAAAATTTTACATTTTATACATACGATCAAGGAATTGTCATCAATTTATGTTAACCATACGATTCTAGCAGCACTTTCCAAGTACTATAGAATACAAGCTTTCGATACGAACAAAAATTATGTTTCACAGTATGCGGCGTAGTGTTGAACTTTTGCATCTTTTTTGTTATAGAGCAAAAGAGGAAAAGCTGATCGGGATTTCAAAGCACTGCCTGTGCTCATTATAAGAAAACATGATAAGAATATACCAGCGTACCTGATTCCTATTCTTTAATTCCTTATGAATCACACATAACATTCATGGTATATGCTTTAAAACTCCCATTTCATATATTTGTTTACATGAATTCTCGTCACGTTTCATTTTCACTCGGCAAATATTTGATCAATAGTTATGGCGTCATGGGTTTGGTATTTAACCCCCGTGATAAATACTTAGCTATTTATACCACCCAAAAATGACAAGATTTAGTTTATATAATTTTTTTGAATGATTTCATTCATTTCTTGGACCTGGAATTAAACTTTAAATATAGATTTTAAGAAATCATTATTTCTAAACATCACGTCATACAGCTTACTATGACGTCGTATTGTAAAGGCAAGTAGGATATCTGGGTGTAGCCTTAACATACCCGCGAAGGAAATTAAAAAATGACATCAGCCATTCTAGGTACTTTACATTTAAGTTTTACTTAGATTTGATTTGTTTTATGAAAAATATAATCATTATCCAAAAACCTTATCACAAAAGTTAAGTGCTCACAAGCTTCAAGATGCCTGTATGGAAATAGTAAGTAAGTAAAGGCTAAGAATAGGCGTTTCTATAAGAATGAACTAATTAAGAGCCATTCTCTGTTCAAATTCAATTCTTTAAATAGAGCGTTGCTAAGGAAATAAGCCGAAAAAATGTGCATAAAAATCTGAAAAATATTCTGTTTCCTTGGACACGTACCCTTGTATGTAGATTCCCAAAATTTTTATGATTGATATATATGAACAACTAACCTGACTTTCAATTTTCACTACCACCTAATCTCTAACTGGATGCAAGAAGCTGGCACATACACAGGTATGTTAAGGCAGTACCCAGATCAAATTTCGGCGAATTTAGACTTTTTTCGTAAAATGTAACATTGATAAATCGGAAAAGCCATAGATAAAACATTTACTATAATTATCCATTGTATAGACGTCATTGAGGTTTAGGCTAAAAGAAGCACTCCACTACGATGTCATCACGTGACGTCTATAAATAGAAAAATTGCCTTAATGAAAAAGTAAAAAGTTCAACACTACCCCGGGGATAGTTCAGTTCTTTTTGTGAAAATAATTATGTAAAAACATCACTGGGTCATGAAAAGTGCTGCTAGAATCCTACTCTCCAAACACAGAAAAAATTATTCCAAAGTTTCTCATGAAACCTTACCAAAATTATTACATTTTGTACAAACGATCAAGAAATTGTCATCAATTCATGTTAATCACACGATTCTAGCAGCACTTTCCAAGTACTATAGAATACAAGCTTTCGATACAAACAAAAATTATGTCTCAAAGTATGCGGCGTAGTGTTGAACTTTTGCAACTTTGTTGTTATAGAACGACAGAGGAAAGGCTGATCGGGATTTTAAAGCACTGCCTGTGTTCATTATAAGAAAACATCATTTGAATATATCAGCGTACCTGATTCTTAATCTTTAATTCCTAATGAATCACACATAACATTCACGGTATATGCTTCAAAACTCCCGTTTTACATATTTGTTTACATGAATTCTCGTCCCGTTTAATTTTCACTCGGCAAATTTTGATCAATAGTTATGGCGTCATGGGTTTGGTATTTTACCCCCGTGATAAATACTTAGCTGTTTATATTTGTTTATTTTATGTTTTTGAATGATTCCATTCATTTCTAGGACCTGAAATTAAACTTTAAATATAGATCTTAAGAAATCATTATTTCTAAACTTCACGTCATACAGCTTACTATGACGTCATATTGTAGAGGCAAGTAGTATATCTCTGGGTGTAGCCTTAACATACCCGCGTAAGGATTTAATATTGATATAAAATTAACAAAATCGAACATTTTCCCTTCTTGGTAACCATAGCAACAGTGTTGTATTTTTCAATAAACTTCATCAATATATGATATTCAACTTTAGTTCTACCAGATAAGTACTATTCAAGGTGAGTAAAATAATATGTTTCTTGATTAAAAGGTAAGTAAATTCCTAAAGCAGCAAAAAAAAAATCACTTTAAACAACTGGTACGTTGTTTCCATGGTTAAACTGCAAAGAAACAATTAATCCCAATTTTTCTTATGTTTTTGGTGTTGCAAGGTACTAAGGATGTATATGTGCCAGTCATAAATTTTATTGTTTTTCCTCAAGATAGTAGCATTAACCCAATCTTAGCAACAGATTTTGCATGGTTACACTGTGTTACCATGGCAAACATGAAAGTTATTTTTCGAATAATGTTGCCAATACCTAATTACTTAAGGTCAAATAGTTTTATTGTTTTTCTTTGTTTGTTGATTGAGTTTGATCATGAAACATCTATAAGAAGTGAATATTGAGCGTTTTTCAGCATCTAAAATGTATTCCAAATGTACCTATGGTTACCACTTACTTGGAGATAAATTCTAAATAGTTTGTTTTTAGCAAATGTGGCAACAAGGTGTCATGTTTCTGTGAGAATGGTTTGTTTGCTTTTCTTAGTCTTTATTAAGGCTTAATAAAGATTCAAATTAGCTAAAAATCTCAATTTTTTCAACTTTTCTGGCTGTTACCATGGCAACCAAGACACATAGTAACGAAATTTTATTTGATATATGTTTCTTGTGTCAAGTTTTAATAACGGGCAAAGTTTCATCAAAATCGTTGACCATGCGTGGCAAAGAAGTTTAAGTGGTTACAGAGAATCGCTAAAAACGCACACAGACTATACATCTTATACAATGACGGTTAAAACTTTCTGTCTATTGCAAAGTTAGTACCCACTATATTCTATAACCAGTACACATTGTGACGTCATTGTTGTTTACTACTCGAGGTTATAAAACATATCAACAAATAAACAAGACAGCTTCGGTTCAAGGACATACATGTACCCTATTTAATTTAACAAAAACAATGTTAATTTACAGTAGAATATTCAAAAGGTTAATGATATTAGTGCATAAATATCTACAATTCTGTTGTTAAGTTACTGCTTGTAAATGCACAGTTCAGTGTAAGTTTCCCCAAGCTATGGTCAAATGAGAAAGCGCATAGGAAATGTGAAGCAATTTTATTAATCTTTTAAATATTCTTCTTAGAATTATACATTACTTATATAAAGATAAATAGGATATGCCATTGCACCAAGTCTGTTTTGATGTCAATTATAACCTTGACTAGTTAAAAACAATGACATCATAATATGACCTCATAATGTGGACTGGTTATAACATGTCGTTGGTTTTAAGTAAAAGAAAATAGGTTTAAACTTAGTTATTTGCAGAGTGTAAAAGATTAAGCTGAGGTCTACATATTTCTGATCTGTTGATGGAAATGAGTAGTTATGGATTTATTCCCTTTACACTACTAAACGTTTACAAACTTTCTGTGTATTTTTATTGCATGAATCACTCAGAAAGTAATATTACGTAGCAGAACGTTTCGACCTCATATTAGATGTCCTGTTATTATCACAAAAACCAATAACATGCTCTCTAGGGATTGTATAATATGTTACAAAATAACATCAACAAAAGAATCATTCTGGTATGAGCGCTAATTGGAAAAACCTTATTTTTAATTTTATAAAAAAAAAATAAAACATTAAATTATTAGGAAAAAGACAATAAGTATTATAAGAGAATGAAAATGAAAGAGTTGCTTTGGGTAAATGTTGTTATGAATGAACCTGGTATCATTTTTTTAATTAAGCTTGTGTAATAAAAATAATTTATATTTTGTAAACTCTTTTTACTGAAAGCAGAACAATTATTTCTAGAAACAATTCATATGTACGTGACTGGATGAAAATGTCTTCCGTTGTCTTCACGATCTCACCTTCACCACTTAATTATCATTACCTCTCACCGGAGAGGTAGTGTCGCACTGTACATTTCACACGTACCTTACTGATGTTGACGGTGAAAACATATCAATCTGTCCACCTACCTGAGAAAATATTTACTCCTACACACATATAAATCAATCTGTTTTCATCCTGTCTCCATTAATTGATGAATGTGTATATATGTGTAGTTGCAGTGTGTAAAATACTGCGTAGGCTTTGGGTACGCTATTTCATGGTACAGACGTGCTTGTTTCTTTCCACTTAACTGAAATCAAACTTGCTAGTTTTGTGCTGAAAGTAAGTGCTTTCAAACATTCCCACATGTTATTAACACATTCATCTTCTAATTTATATTTCATGGCCAAATCATCTTTGATTTTATTTCTTACAAAAATTGTTTAATGGGAGAGTTTTATAAACAACATTTGCTCTCTCTCTCTCTCTCTCTCTCTCTCTCTCTCTCTCATACAAACGTACATATACTTGTCTCCACCTTTGAAATTTTGATACTCCAACTTTAAAATGAAAACTTGGTTACTAGTAGACTATATATTAGATTTACGAGTATATGAACATGTATATATATGGAAGCAAAGTGAACCCGTTTAGGAGACTGATTTTTTTTTCTTTTGATGTTTAATACCTATGCCATGCAAAATGTCTTTTTAATGATTCACATAAAACAAAAGGACAATCTTTTCAATATTTTTTGAAAAAATATAATAGATAAAAATCTTTTCTGCCTTTATCAAGCAAACATTTTGAAGTGGAAATATTGAATTTCAAAAACGTTCAACTTTTATTTTTCCTTGAGAGTTTAGCATACATTTATAGCATATCGAAAGAAACCGAAATAAATTTTGTGGTCTTTATATAAAAAGGAACAGATAATAAGGTACTTCATCATATGTTTTCCTCTTTATTAATTAAGTGGATATCACTCATTGGATATTTTTCATATCCTATACTTCGTGTTCTAATTTCTTTTGATATCATTTCATGAAATATGTAGATAACGCACAGTAATCAAGCTCTCAAGTTCATAGGAACAATACAAATTTAGAGTAGAAAAAAGACGGACCTCTAAAAATATCAGAAGTGGAATCCGGTGCCATTAAGGAGTAAGTATTCCCTGTCGACCTGTCACACCCGCCGTGTGCTCCTTGTCATGATCCGGCAAGCAGAAAAATCCGTACACGATTCGGTGTAAAAATAGTGGCTTAACAATGTGTAAGAAAAACGACAGTCACTATTCAACTTAACATTAGATTGTATTTGCTAACATCACATGAACAATTACATGTATTTGCATTTGTAAACATAGAAATTCTCGGTAGCATTTCATATTTTCATAATTAATTAATTAATTAATTAATCAAAATGACATATAATACATTTTTATAAAGCTTGTTTGTTTCTTAATTATTAATGTACTTTTTTAGTTTCGAATATTCTTGACCTCCATTGTTACGCGGCGTAAGGTACAGCTGAATATGTAGACAAAGAAAAGCAGTAAGTCAATAGAGATGGATTAAACATGATACAAAAATTTTCACGGTTTTGTGATATTTTTTTTGTACGTGTGTGGTCAAATAGGATTTTTATCAAGTCATTACTCATTGGATAATTGGATAAAAGTAATATCCAATCCCAAATCATGGGAAATCCTTATTTTTATAGATAATTTTTTTAATATAGTGTGTACTATGTACATGTATATGTGAGATAACTTTTATACTTTCTAATACTACAGCATTTTTGTAGCATTTTCTGCAAAAATAACAACGCTTAACATCAGAATGATGGGTAAAATGAGATGTTTATTGGCATGATATGAACATAACTTAATGAGAACATTTTATGAAGCGACCCCAGGTCCAACTCTCCTTGCTTCACTTTGTATTTACACTGAAACAGAAATAAAAATTTTATTAGTGTCTTATCTTTAAAACAAAGTCTTTTTTAGAAACTTAGTTCACAGTTTTAGATTGTAGAAAGTTTATTAACTATTCTTTTACGACATCGTGTGTGAACGTATTTTCATTGTTTTGTGTGTGTTAAGTTTAATATACTACCGACACATAATTCCAAAGTAGGTCATTATTTTGGACTCAATTTAAAACATGCAAACTTAGGTACATGTACTCATATACTAAAGGCAAACTTCGTTATCTCAATTTCTATGTGGCAACGAAAAGACTTTAAGATATCTACGGGTTGGAGATATTGAAGTAAAAATACACAATTTATTACCGACACATAATTCCAAAAAGGGCATTATTTTGGACTCAATTTAAAATATGCAAACTTAGGTACATGTACCCATATACTAAAGGCAAACCTCATTATCTCAATTTCTATGTAACAAAGAAAAGACTTCAAGATATCTGCGGATTGGAGACATTGATGTTAAAATACACAAAGAAGAATTGGTTGGGACTTTCAGCCTACTTCTACATAGTAATTGTATTTGAGATATCTATTTGCGAAATGCAGAAGTTCAACTGTATTTCATTAATGGAATATATAAGTTGTACAGACAGTCTACCTTTCTTTCCGATGCCTTTACCAGCTCCATTATCGACTATAGCCCCTAAGCCATTGTCAAAGCCTGCATCTAAACCTGAACCACTTCCACCAAGGTGACCATTGTTAAAACCATTGTCAAAACCACCATGCCCACCTCCTACCACTGGCCCGTTGTTAAAACCATTATCGAAACCATTGTGACCATTGTCCCATCCATTACCTCCGACTAGGGGATCAACTATGGGAGCTATGTAAAAAAAAAAAAGGAATGGATAAATTTTGACTGAACTCCATTGAACTTTTGAGCATGATTACTTTTCATTATCATTATATTTTATATTGGTCGCCCACGTGGGTCCAGTATAAACCGAGGTCCCGTGTCGCAGTAGGTGCTTGCACGAAAAAGATCCCTCGCTGCTCAATGGCCCTTAGTGCTGAGTATAGGTCTGAAATTTGCAGCCCTCCATCAACAAGTGGTTGCGTCTCGATATGAGTGAAAACTTCTCGAAAGGTACGTTAAACAAAAAAAAACAAACAAACAAAACATATCTGTATTGCGCCTTATTTCCTATGTTTGACTTTATGTAACTCACTTGAAATAAAATAAAATTGCAGAAGAAACATTTTACTTTCTTAAGTCATGTCATTGCTATGCTTACCTCCTGCACCGGAATCATGAACGCCTAAAATGGCGACTGGAGCAATCATACCATGATCCATTCCACCGTCTAAACCGCCTCCAAATCCAACATGATCAGCATCACCTTAAAGAAATTAAATTTAACTTTGAATATAGGATTAATCTTTGCCATTTAAAGTTCATGTTCACTCAAAGGAATGTAAAGATGGCTGGATGGCAGAGCTCTGCCATTCATCCATCTTTCAGTAAAATTTCAATCATTATTCAGTAAACTGAATTGCATAGTTTCATTCTGTGGTAATTAGGGTTTCTTCTACCATTTCAATATCATTATCATTTATCCATCTTTCAGTAAAATTTCAGTCATCATCCAGTAAACTGAATTGCATAGTTTAGTTTCATTCTGTGGTAATTAAGGTTCTTTTCTACCAAGAGAGATAATTCTTAAATCCTTACCTAAGAGGGGTAATTCTAAAACAAAAAAAATCATTGTTTCCAAAATAACATGTTTATCAATGATAATTGTTCTCCTTAAATTTGCCCCAGTGCTGTTTATAAAATTGATCAATTTTTTTCCTTCCTCTGACAGAAAATTGCGAGGAAACAGAAAACTTCCGGTTGAGGAAGTGAAGTGCCGCTTTCTCTGAAGTCAAAACACGTAAATGGTACGAATAATGACCAGTTTACTTTTTCATGTCATTTTTCATGTTATTCTAAACCCTGCAATATCCAGTAATTACACTGTATTTCAAGTAATTGGTCTCATAAAAGTGTATAAAAAAAAAGGAAGAGTAAATAAAATGAAGATTGGTCAAAGGGGATGGTATAAAATCACCATTTAAATGGGCATATTTATAGGAAAGAATAAAATTACTGACAATTACTCTAGAACCCTGATTTATTTACAGGAAAGAATAGAATTACATATAGATAATTACTTTAGAATCTTGACTAATTTACAGGGAAAATAGAATTACTTACTGACAATTACTCTGGAACCCTGATTTAATCCACTTCCAGGTCCAAGATTTACTGAAAAAATAGGGAAAAAAATAGCTATTGTTAATCGGGTTTAAAGTCATCAACTATAATTATCTGCAGTAAAACATGTCTGCATGAAATTCTCCTATGGATATATTTCTAAATCAAATTTTTTCATCAAGTAATTCAAAATCAGAAAATTTATTTCGATATATATAACAAATTACGGATACAATGACGCAATTTACGAAGTATCGATGCAAGATTTCTCTAGTTACCGTAACACAGCTGCAGTGTTGATTGTTTTTAAATGTTCAGGCCCCAGGATCATGAAACACGTTAACTTAAATTAAATTTTCAATCACCCATAAGATTTTGATTAAATTAAATTTTCAACTTTATCCCTAAGCTTGCAGAGAACATGATACCGGGGCCTGGATAGGCCTGTATAATTACACGAGAAGCATGATTGTATTTATTATTACTTTTATTTTTGTTTAAATTACATTACTATATATCTCATTTAAGGAATTGATTTCGATTGCTTTGAATCGAAAAAATGATCTTGAATGATAATTAATAATAAACTCACCATGATCGGCATCAGCTGAAAATAAAGAATAAAAAAGTACGGTAAAATGCAGCCGATTTATAAAGTGTTTTAAACAAAAAAAAAATTGTTAAAAACGAGTCTTACTATGAATATTATTGTATATTTTTTTCTCAAATACAAGATTAAATTTTTGATAATTTTTTTTACTGATAATGAAAAATCAAATTTACAATTAAAAATAAAAAAAAAAAAAACATTAAAAAATGAAACACAAAGTATTAGAAAACCTGTCACCACATTCATAAAACACAATCAAGAGTGCAAAACCATACCTTTTTCAGAGGTAATAAAAAGTTAGCATAAAACCGTCTTCAACATAAGAAAGAGTGCACTTTTTATATTCTCTACGTAATCAGGTTAACAGATATCGGGAATCACGTTCACGCCACAGAAATACACAAGCATGAAACAAATTGTGATTGGGAAATAAAACATAAAGAATTTTGGAATTCTGATTTTGCAAAAGTTTGGATGCATAAGGAATTTAAAAGATACTTTTTGTCTAATTCCAGAAAATGAAATTATTAAAATTTATCTCAATATTTGAAAGTATATTTAAAGTATTTTAACTCTTGCAAAATAGAAGGAAATGTTTGGGTAAGTGTGTCACAAAAAAAAGGAAGTGAGGTCACGAAAAGGAAGTGAGATCACAAAATGCCGATATCCGACACAAGTACTTACTTATCATGACAGTATCTGGAAAAAGAATTATAAAATATTTTTCATATTTCATGTGATATTTTACATCTTTTAGCGACTTACCTTTTCTCAGAAAGGGTGTTAAAAAGACTTAAACTCTAGCGTTTGTCTGGATATATATGCACTTACCTTATTCATCAAATGGCATATGTACTTTCCTACTATGCCAAGCAAACAACAAGAGATATGATTTGAATATCTCTTGCTGTTTTTGAATTGCCCTGTACTTGTGTTAGTGTTTATTCATCTCTTATACCTCCCTTGTTCTTAACGTACTTGCGATTTGATCTAATCCCATTCCAAGTCCTAGGGAATTCTTTCCTTGTCCAACTCCAAAGCCAACACCAGCGGTTCCACCCAGTGCCCCACCACCCCCTCCATTAGTTCCTCCCCCAATACCTACTCCCCCGCCATTAACACCTGAGGTAATTCCAATTCCTCCCCCAGAATCGGGTTTTCCGAAACCAGCTCCTATTGACAATCCGCCTGGAGTCCCTATCCCAATACCCATTGCCCCATCTGGACCCCCTGCCCCAAGTGCTATACCATCCCCTGGTCCATTCCACGCACCTGCAGGTCCACCGCCGACGCCAATGGCGGCACCATCACCTGCACTGCCTTTTCCGATAGCATCGCCGAATCCAAGACCGAGTCCAATGTTAATATCTCCGTTGCCACTACCGCCTCCGCCTCCATTTCCTTTATCATGGATTCCTACTCCCGAACCTCCTCCTAGACCGATTCCTGCTCCTCCTCCTAGACCGATTCCCGGACCTCCTCCGAGACCGATGTTTAAATCAGGCCCACCAATATCTACAGGACCTCCAAAATCTAATCCGCCATGACCACCTATTCCAATTCCCGCTCCCCCAGCCCCAAGATCTCCATGTCCCCCTCCAATGTCAAAATGGCCTCCTGGTCCATCAACTATACCAATATCTACACCTGGCAAGCCAAGGTCTGTTTTACCTGGAGGAAACATAAGCGCATGCTCAGACAGTAGCTCTCACAACGTGAAAAGAGCATCTATTCCGCCACTTCTAGAGCTAGGTTTGCAGAGCAACGCTTTGCGCATACTGTTTCCAGATTGCTAACAGCATGTTAGTTTGTCAGGAACGTTTATATTATAAATTTCCAAATGATCCACGTTCATTATATTGACTTACCTTTTTGTTACGAACATGCATTGAGAACTACTTTGACTGTTAAGCAATACTTATGAAAATAATGGTAGAGAAAAATGTTTACAAACACATATATGATATGTATTAGATGATGGATTTTTTTCAATTCGTAAAATCCCGCCACCAAGCATATTCAATATGATTATACATTTTACTACATATTTTAAGAGGTCTATAATATTTCAGTAGTAATATACATGTGAGTTGTATTGTTAATATGTGTTAGCATACACCCTTACCGATGACACTTGGCTGAATAGGACCGTGGTCAACCGGAGTAGGCGCCACGACATCTAGCGTTAATAAAGCGCAACATTTACAAAAGTGGTATTTATTATACTTAAAGTGGTATGTATCATACCTAAAATGGTATCTATTATACTTAAAATGGTATCTAGTACACTTAAAGTGGTGTCTATTATACTTAAAGTGGTATCTAGTATACTTAAAGTGGTGTCTATTATACTTAAAGTGGTATCTAGTATACTTTAAGTGGTATCTATTATACTTAAAGTGTTATCTATTACACTTAAAGCGGTATATATTATACTAAAAGCGTTATCTATTATATTTAACAAAAGGCTCAAACTTTAATCAATTCCTTTGTTTTTAGAAGATATCTTAATCAAATTCTTGATTCGTTACTGAAAAGTGCGTTTTAAAAATTATGCTGTCGAACATAAAATATAGGATTTTTTTACCTTTCATGTAAACACTGATTTGAATTTTATCAGACAGCAAAGATTTAAAGTAACAAACTTTCCGATTCCTACTATTCTTTTATGTTTTCAATAAATACCTTAAAAAATACTCAAATATCTTTGCTATCATTCATTAACCTTACATATTTAGTTTTTGGCACAAAAAGCAAACACAACAACAAAAATATTGTATACAATCTACATTATCTCTAATATTATCTACTATGTGTGTTAGGCTATACGCAACGCAATCATTATTGCAGGATGAGCAGCGGAATAGACACGGGCAAACGCGCATGAATACATTTCATTTTTAACTGTAATTCTTTTTAATGAATCTTAATTTCAGATAAAAGTAATTTAAAATTTGATTTTTTGATTACAAACTATTTCTAAAAATCCATTATCTCTACATGTATAAAGTTGACAATGTCTTAATTGATAGTCCTATAAATATTCATATTTTAATTAAGCTTTGAATATTCATAAGTGAATTACAACTTACCTCCAGGGACAGCTGTTTAAAATAGAATAGAAGATGTGTGAATTTAATGCACTTTGAAATGATAAACTTTAAATTTCTGATTAGAAATATTTTTAACGTAGTATAAATGAATAAAAATCGTTATTAAAATTATGGTAAACATTCAATTATTAAAAAATAGGAATGAAGATGAGTAATTATTGTTTCTTCAGCAACTTTCATATTCAAGGAAGTAGAATACGTATGGAGAAGCCATAACAAAAGAATAACATTTCATGAAAACGATAATCCTTCTATATCAGAATTTTGAATGAGACGAAATTTAAAAAAAAAAAAAATACATGCACTTTTCTTGAAGAAATTGTTCTACGAACAAACTTTCTATTTAAACTTTAAGAACCAAATATTCTCAACCATTCCGAATTAAGCGTAATCAATAACTGGTCACAAAAGAAACTGATATCAAATTGACATTAATTTACAGTACTTCAAGTCGAAAAAAATGAAGTTTTCCTCCATTTTATAAAGCGAAAGTAAAAATGATGCCTCTTTATCATAAATTGAAATTAAAATTGATTTGTGGTATACTTACGGACGGGGATGTGTTTTTCAACTGGGACTTTGACCGGAATTTCAATAGGCACCTCAACAGGGTAAGGAACTTTAACAGGAACTTCCACCTTAATAGGCTTTGGCACAGGGACTGTATAAAAAGGCAAAAATTTAAAATAATAGAACTTATAATGGCGCTGCATAAAAATTTTGTATTTGATAATTGAAACTTTGTTCTACATTAGAGATATCTGTGTATTTTATTAAATAAACATTGTGTTTTTGTTTTCCTAATGAGGTTAATTATGAAACAGGGTTAATATTCTTAATATTAAAGAGAATTTTTATCAGGAGCTTAACAAAAACTCAGAGCTAAAGCAGAACAGGTGGCATAGCTCAAATAAGCTTCTCAATACTTTTGAATGGATTAATATTTCAAAAGGACTCAAAGAAAACATTTTAAAGGCATTGGCAAAAGGGTTAACAGAATATCTAAATCTGAAAAAGAATTAGACTACATGTGCTGTTGGAAGATCTAAAAGTGAATGAAATTCATGATCTATTTTTTATTGCTTAGGAAATGAATTGGTTTCATTCGTTTCCCTTAACCTTTTGATGAGGTGAAAAATGAGTGCATGTCCTTGCAAAAAAAAGCATATCGACCCCGATATGAAATATTACTTGCGTAACTTCTATAGCACACACTAAACCACACACACACACACAATCGCTTTACTATATCCCCTCCAACTTCGTTTCTATAATGATCAAAGCAATGAAAACATGATGGTTTGACATGAAGTGCTTAAGAACAGAGACAAAAAGCATGTAAATGACGGTCTCCTTCTTTTTTTATAAGTACATTAAAATGGGAAGCATATGATTGTTAAATGTGAGGCCAACTAAATATTTTACCTGGCTTCCTAATAACTTTCGGTACTTAAATAAGAAAAAGAAATTTGTTACCAATAAAATTGAAAGTGACAAAAGAAATTAAAAATCTGGGAGAGGAAAGATCTTATAATCAATATTGAAATATATTTCTTCATTATAATATTATTCAACTCATACATTCAATGTTCTGTCACTCTATTGCAAGATCCTTATGTATCTGAATCGGTATCTCTTGAAATATTATAATGTATTTGAAATAAAGCATTATTTAGTGAGAGCGATTGAAAAATGTAAATATTATATTGAAAAATCTAATGTATATCAATAGGCTTGATCCCCGCCATTATATAAAATGTAGAAGTATATGTTGAAAGAAGAAGTGTTTTTCGTACAGACACGGTATATGATTTTCTTCGATTGAAAAAAAATTGACTGATATTTCATAAGCTTACCTTGCTTCACGACTTCAACTTTCTTATACACAGGGACTGAAATACAAAACAGTATGTTATTGTTAAAACATAATTGCCTTTGCCTGAAAAGATAGGAATATATACTACTCATAACTTTGTTCTTCTACTTTGTAATGATTTAATGTATTTTTTACAAATTGTTTTAATATTATGGATTAGATATCAAAATCTTCAAATTTGACTTAACTATATTTATTTAATCGCAGACTTATAAATTCTTCCTCTTAAGAAACTATTCACAAAAACTAATATATCAACCTTCATATAAGCCAAATCTATATGATACATAAGAATATTGATACGTTTCAAAAAAAATAGCATTTTTCTTTTAGTAATACAAATATCCCTATTCGTCCCTTTTTATTTGTGACATTAAGTATATATTGAAAAAAAATGAATAAAACAACTTAAAATGGTTTTATACATTCGCTTATATGCATTTTGTGTCATTGTGAAGGTTCCATGGATATAGAACGAGTTTAATATAAATTTCTGATGTTGGAATTCCTCGGTAATAAAACAAGAAATCTGTGTGTATTATTGCAAAGTCATCTATTTTCTCTATGCTAAAAGTATATATGAATAGCTTTGACTAAACAAAAATATGAATTATGCTACTACGTTGACGAATGATTGATTGTTATCTGACAGTTTTAGTATGTATGTCAGTAGTGTAGAATATGATTATGGCAAAACATTTGAAATCACACTAATGGAAAAGAAAAAGGAATGGCATAAAAAAAATTTATTTTTTTTATTTTTATTTATTTATTTATTAATTTTTTTTTTTTTTTTTCTTTTTTTTTTTTTTTTTTGAAATTGTGCATTTTGAAAACTTTTCCACCCTAAGATAGGGAAACGTTATAAATGTATACATATGAAGTTGAACATTGCTTATTACGTCATAAATTGTCTCTGATTCATATTTACATTAAATTGTTCTGAATCGGTTGATGATATGGTCAATATGATCTTCCTTTGTTTAAAAAGACATTTTCTCCCTGCCTTATCTACATTTAGGAGTTACATTTTTTCGTTATTTATGAGAATGCACAAATATTGCGAGAAAAGCATAAAATCTTTTGTAGCAGTAAAACGTAAGAGATAGTTAAAAAAAATATATAATTAGTGCATTAAGATGATCAGTGAGTGAGACTAAACATGATTTTATTTTGCTGTGAATTAACAATTACAATTAGCAATAACAATTACAAATGGCATTGTAACCATGAAAAGCTTGATTACGCACACAAAACAAATTGTTAGAAACATGGAAAGCTTATGATCCTATGAAATACAATAATAATACCTTTACGAACTACCGTTACTGGCACTAAAATAAACAAGCATTTTTTATAATTAACTTCAGTATCTTCTATTAAATAAGAATGTTTTGTCAAAATGAAATTTAAAAAAATGAAGACGCTCATTAGTTTGACTGTGACGTCTCTACATAGGTGACAACTTCTCGAATGGGACATTAAACAACTTAAAGTCAATAAATAACTTTAATTTTCTGACCTAGATGTCTTAAATTTACATTCTTTTTTCTTAAAGCGGTAAAATCGTCAAGGGCATAAATGGATGTTGAAACAGAACTTAAAGAAACGTTAATCAAATAAGATATTACCTTTCTTTATGATAGGAACTCTTTTGATGATAGTTTTATATACTGGAACATGTTTAATTATTGGCACTGCAACTGAAAAAGAAAAAATTATCTTATAATGTTTCATGCTTATCCACATTGTAAATATGAAGTCGAGTTTCTTAAAAAAATGTTATATTTACATTATAAAATTGATTGCTTTAGGTAATTCCAAATTTGCATTCCAAAGTTCGCATGTCAGTGTAATATTGTAATATTATAATGCATGTCTCGATGTAACATTTACATATAATTTCTTCCTTTTGAATACCTATTAAGTGTTTATTATGTGACTTCAAACAGGGGAATAATCATTAGAAACATTTAATATTCACTCAGCTTATGATAGTGTAGTGTATACCATTTGTATTTCTCAATTTCTTTACACTGAATTATTCCTTATGCATCCTTCATTGTTTGCTCTCTAATTTGACTTGTACATGATTTGTAGATACTATCACAAATGAGATTTGAAAAAAATATAAACCGAGAAAATACCATACCTTTTTTAATGATTGTTTGTGGTCTGTAATATCTTTTAAAATATCCTGAAATAAAGTAAATACGCCACTCTGTTAATGCAGTTTTTCAACAAAACAGAATGTATAGACTGTGTCTTATAGTTAGTCCATTTACATATTTACTATTCATATGAGAAGAAGATAGCATGCAGGGCACTCTAAATTGATACTAGTTTCTTTTAGGACTACCTGGATGGATATTTCTCTACTTCCATTTTCATTTTTACTTTCACTATCATTTTTACAATTAACTTACGAATAGCTATATGAAATCAAAAAAATCATCTTAACATTAAATATTGGTAACGTGTGAGCAAAACATTACTTTATTCATAAACATTTACCTTTACTTAAGCTATTTAATGTAAAATCACTCATTTTCGTGGATCAAACTTTTGTGGTTCGAGGAAATAATACTGGTTCGTGATTTGATTTTGGATGATGAACTATTGTTTTATATTGAAAAAAAAATAAAATTTCGAGAAGAGTCTTAATTCCTGAATTCCTTCATACCATGAAAACAACAAAAATTGAACCACCACGAAAATTAGTGATTTGACAGTAGTTCTCAGTGCTATTGGAAATGGACGTACCGAAAGGTGGCCTTTTATAAAGTCCGTATCTGGACATGTATTTTGAGATGTACCCTAAAAATGAAAATAAATATTCAAACATAAAATCATGCATTTTAAAACGCACCCTAAGATATATGCTTCAACATTATTTTAGTACTGGTTTAATAGTATCAAAAGTACAATACATGTGGCAAGTCTAAGATTTTTATTGCCCAACCCCCGTCCCAGTTTTTTGAATCAGCAAATATATGCAAAATTTGCTTGGACAGGAAACATACTTCAAATTCAAGAGTTCTTTCTCCAATCTAAATGAAAAAAAAGTATAATTTAACTTTTTATAGATAAGACAAACTTTTTCTTAACGTTATTCATGACTTGCTAAAACAGTTCAGCCATATGTGATACAATAACCCAACACGCAGACTCTAAAATCCGAACCGCTCTTGATCATAAACCTGACACCTTTTTCTCCGGCGGTAAATAGAACAGCTTTCTCTCGCATCGCAAATAATGGTATTATTTTCGGATCAGGGTTTGTAGACGTTTTTATGGCCTGGGCAACACTCAGTAGAATTTTGTACCATCGTACTTCTGATGATATTCGCGTGTTATAGTGGCGTATTTTCTTATATTAATATTTGTCCTTAATATCTAATAATAGATAAAATGATGTAAAACTATATCGAGAAGCAGAATTATCAGTCCAGATTTGTCATTTCTCTATTTGTGGATAATATTTTCAATCTTCTTTTCATGCTATGTAGCAAAAGAGAATTTGCCATAAGAGAAAATTATGGTACAAGTTCTACATTTTAATGTTTTGATGTTTGTGATTAAAAAATATATATAAACATATATGTAAAATAATAAATTACAAATGAAACATAAGTCTGGGATATTCCCAAATAGTGACATTTGTTTAGCACAGTATGTGTATATAAAAATATCAAGGGCTTCTGTTACGTTTATCAATTGAAGATAAACATAGAGATTTCATACGCGATACAAAATAACTAGTTTCCCTTTCATCCACTTTATTTCTATGAAATAAATGTGTAATGCTTTCTCATTTTATTTGCAAAATACATGTACTTCAGAGGAAATAGATGAATTATAATTTGAAAAATTACAAGTTCTTTGCAAAAAAGATGTTTTTATTTATACATTAGAAACACATGCTCCATTAAAATTATTGATTTTTTGTAATCCACTAAAATTTGTCTAAATCTACTAAAAGTTGTCGATATCATTCCTATATTTACCTTTTCTGGAAAAAAAATTAAAAACTCTAAATTAAATTCCTTTTTTTTTTCCAAATAAGTCCCACTGATGTGTAATTTGAATTTTTCTTGCACATTGTTTATTAAAATTTTAATATGAATATATTTATCATTTGAAAAAGAAATATTAATTCTATTAAAAGAAATCAAATATATAGGCCTTTCTTTAACTGAGAAGTCATATTTAGTGATGGGTGCTTGTTTATGTCCACGTGTGACACAACAATTGACAGATCAAAATAATAAAAATTGTCACAGTAGACATCTTAATGTACCATTTATCTTTCTACTATTATGTAACTACAAAGCCTTTCTCGCTTTGCATCGTTTTCTTATGTAACATTCTATTGCAATAAAGATCTGTATATTTCCTGTGTCACATGCAGATATTTACATCATGCTGCACCTTATAAGAGCAACATACACTGCCCTAGGGCCAGACTGAGACAACAGTGAATAACATGCAAAATCTCATGTTTTATTTAATATTTAAGGTTACGTTTCTGTTTGTTGAATACCAAAGAGGAAATACATGGCTTCAATGACGAAATAACAGTTTTATTGAAGACGAGATTTTTATATTTATTGCTGGACTCTACATGCCAAAACAATGTTGTTTTCATTTGTCTCATATTTAATAGGGCATTTCCTTATCTTTGTGCTTCATTCTACGATTCACCAGAGATGAAAGTCATAAACATGTTTCTAGTTTAAGTAGCATTGTTGTATTTCCTTTTATATTGCGAGTAGAAACATCGTCCGTTTGAGGATAAAAGAGGAAATGAGAATTTTTTTTATATATTTTTTTTTATGTTTCTATAAGGAGCACGGATTTTACAAATTTTAAGTAAAAGTTCAAATCAAAGTCATTTGAAAAATTACTCATGTAAATTTCATGCTCTACATTTTTTTAATTGAAATTGAGATGAAAATGTAACACATGAAATTTACATGATTTATGTATATATATCGCATAATAATATCTGGTACAAAGAAAAGTCATAATATTAAATCTTAAGAACTCACCTCTTTTATAACCGTGTCCATGTCCTGCGAAAAAGAAAATAAAGAGATATATTAAAAAAAAAAACAATGATAAAAATATAACTTCATTTGTAGCAAATATTCAAATAATCAAACATCTTTAGTTACAAATAACCCTATCATTACCTAAAGAAAATACAGAGAAGAAGAGAATCCAGATGAATAATAAAACGAGAACTTAATTTGTAGCAAATATAATTTCTTACAAATAGCATTAACGTCGCATTAAGTATAACGCCTGTACATACAGTTTTGTAAGGTTATTTTATACTTGTCAGTATAAATTGAAATTGTGCATCACGGTTATGAGTTGCAAAAAGAAAATTGATATATTTATAATAAAATTACGTTGAATACGAACACAAATGCAGATTTTAATTGGGTCAAATGAATATGACATAGATTTGCACTACTGTGCTACGTTTTACATACGAACTTACTACAAAGACCAGAATGTAATTTTGGGAATAGCATTTTATTCAATTCTAATCTGAAAAAGGTTTTAATATTTGTTCATTGAACTTAGAGACGTAAATCTAAAAGCTTCTTTTTTTACAGAATCATCATTTCTTTGAGAATTTACAATCCCATAAAGGCCTCGGTCTTAGTCTTAAGTTCTTCTGTAGAATGGACCCCTGTTGAACAATAGTAACATTCTACTTGCTTATTTGTTCGTATGATATTGATGTCCAGTTGCTTATCTACAAAAATAACCAATGCTATAATGGATATAATATGATAAAATAGATTTGCTATAACATTTTATCAATTGCTTACATATTTTTTTCTATCGAAATGGAGGAGGTGGGGGTCTGTTCAATATCTCACACTCTTTATAACAATCCCTGCTTTTGGTCAGAAATATCATTGGTATCGAATCTTACATTGTACTAGAAAAGAACACTGAACTTTATAGATAGATAATAAATCGGTGTTTAGTGTCATATATCGATGACAAATCAGATGACAAATCAGATGATAAATCAGCCACCAGCCTTCAAATGGTCATCGTCTCCGAAGAGAAAAGGCACATAAATGCATGTTCTTTATGGCGTTTGACTTTTGACTTGGTTTTTTTCCCTCATGACTGTGCTATGTTTTGCTGGCATTGCATGTGATTTGAATGTCTGTGGTCAAGTTTTGGATAATCATAACACGATCTTGTGTTCAGTGAGGAATAATTGCATCTCATTGTTTTTTAGAACACCTAAGTTAATATCTTTTTCATGTGTCAAGTTACAAATCTTTGGAAACTTCACTTAAGCAAAGTTGAGACCTAGTAAAGATTCCTGAATAAACCTGAGATATACCCTGTATATTATATTTGTGAAAATGAAATGTGTATTCTATTGTAAATCACATCTTTTTTGATAAAAAAAAAAAAAGTAGATATAGAGCTGATGAATCATTGGATGATTATAATTTAAGAAATGCCATGGATTGGGCATATGAGAAGCTATGATTAAGCAGTTGATAAATTTGAGTTCAAAATTGTATAATGAATAAAGAGCTGAGGAAAAAGTTTTCAAATTCTTGGATGTTTAAATCTAAAAACAAACTTGAGAAAAAAATTCTTTAAAAAACTGTTAAAAACCAACTTGAGAAGGAACTTAAAATGTTTACAATTTTAACGAATGACATCGATAAGCTTATTAGCTTAATCTTTTTGTTAGCTCAATCCAGCTTAAAAAGCTCAAGCTTGTTTGTTACTTCAATACAGCAAGTTTGATCCATCTAGCTTATCAGCTTAATCTTCCAGTTTACAAAGATCAATCAAGCTAAAAGCTCATTTTGTTTGTAAGATCAATCCAGTTAATTCCCTCAATCCAGCTTATCAGCTAAATCTTGTTTGCTAGCTCAATCCAATTTACAAAGTTCAATTCTTTGGTTAGCTCAATTCATGTTATCAGCTTAATCTTATTTACAAGAGTACTCACCACTCTGTACAAGGGCTGCAAAAAAAGAAAGGAAAGTGATACATAACGGAACACGATAAAAGTCTCTTAAATATCGGTCTCTTGGAATCATACGTACAAGCAGTCATTTACTTATGCATTTCTGACAGTTAGTCATAAATATTGGTGCAATGAATCATTCAACACTGCCTGATTACTCTGATATAAATGATTTTCAAAAAGGTCCGTAAAACAATTGGTTAATTCCATTAACCTGTATGCAAAGAATATTGCTTATATGACCTAAAAAGGAGGTAATAGTGATATGTTTTGTTAAATTCTAGGTCAATCATTTTGATTCCTATCAAAGATTTTGAAGCAAGCATCATTCAATATTCTCTTCAAACACTATGAATCAGTTTGCTAGCAAAAGTATCTTAAGAAAACATGAATCCATTTGTCATACTAAAAAATTTTTGGGAGAAGCTTCATTTAGGAATTATTTCAAATGGTAAAGTGTCTTTACTAGAATTATTGCATCAAATGTTTTACAGATAAAGAGGAGATATAAAGCAAATTAAAGCCTTACCGAGTAGACATAGGGCAGCTAGAATTCCTATCGAGAAACTGGCCATTGTTACAGTCCCGTGAATCTAAAATCTCTCCCGAGCGAACGGGCAGATTGTCCAAAGACGGTCAAACACAGAATGGAGCAAAGGGAACAGAGGTCAAGTGGTTTATTTATAGTTCCACGCGCTTCAATGACCGTTCCTGTCAATCATTTGTCCACTAGTGACAATGTAGAATATTGCATCAACTATAACGGGGTCCGGTAGGGGTATTTAGAATGTCT